AAAATTTTATAAAATTTTCGTGGCCAATGGTGTGTGTATACACATATATATATATATATATATATATATCTTATACCTACTTGTATTAATTATTATTTTCTTATCTTTTTTTCAGCATCATATGAGTAAGTTTTGCATTTGGTTGATTTAATGATTTATATTCTTAATATTTAGACCCCACATAACCATTTATTTATTTATTTACAATCATTGAAGTTAAAGTAATATCCATCCAAATGTTTTGAATAAACCAATTTAAAATACTATTGGCAATATAGATTTTATTTTTAAAATATTTTCTTAATTGTACAAATGGACTATGATACATTTCAGCATACTTCCATTACTTGTTATGCTAAATGTTTTTCAAAAATTCAGAAAGTAATTAAGTTGTTAAAACTGCTACAATTAAAAATATAATTGGATTTTACATATAAACCTGAATTAAATCTAAGTCATTCTAATCAACAAGAGCAAACAAAACAAATCATACAAATTTTTATTTTTTATGTACTTGTGATTAAATATATATATATATATATATATATATATAGTAGTAACATATAAAGTATCCACAATGTAAGGAAAAAAGAAAAAGAAAAAGAAAAACTACAAATAGTTACTAAAAATATTTATTTTAAAATAAAATAAAATTTTAAAAAAAATAAATATAATGTTATGCTAAAATAAGATTTAAATTTAATTAATAAATTGTATCAAATTATGTTCCACAAGCAGAATCAACTATCTGAGATAAATCATGTCAAACTTGTACATTAAAAGTTATATGTAGTTGAAAGCTTATTATATTAAAAAATATTAACTAAGTCCAAGCTTGAATTTATAACCAATATCCAGAACTAAATAAAAATTATAATGATATGTAAGAAAAAAGCACTTCAAAATACTCTAAAGTAAAAGAAAAATAAGGAAAATTCATAGCAACTCAATTACTTAACCAATATTAGTATACTTCAATTTATACAACTAAATAATAATTGAATTAGTATCTAATAATAAAATATAGTGAGTATCAAAACATAATTGTGGAAGCATATTATTCAAAAAAATATAAATTAAGTTTACTTGATACCTGCTGTAGGCATTTTATTTAAACTATAAGAATTCTTTAAATACATTGAATTAAATAGATATAATCATCCATAATTACGTGTAATTTTATTTATATAAAAACAATATATAATTTATGGATCAAAATTTTAAATTATTTTACAAAAAAAATAAAAATTTAAAAATGTCTATTGGAACGCTTAATATACAATGCATAATAAATTATTTTGCAATAATATTACTTATTGAAAGAGTTCATTGTGTAATTATGTATGTATGTATGTGTATATATATATATATATATATATATATATGATTTTATAAATAAATAAGTTTAATATTACCCTTTAAAATTACTGTCATTCAAGACAAAAGTTTTAAAGAGTTGCATTTATATTTTTTTTGAACTTTGTTCTTTTTATATGTTTGTGTGTTTAAATAAAATTTTTATTGTAATTATGTGATTCATGTAATTGATTGTAAGAAAGAATTTTTTAATAGTAAACAACCTCATCTGAAGGAAATTAGAAAAATAAGACTTAAGGTAAAGATATAAAAATCCTTCAGTTCTTTTTGTTTTGAATTTCTAGGTCATACCATTATTTCTTAATAGTAAACTTTTTTCTTTGCTATGGTAATATGCTAACATATTTTCTTTGCATTTTTATCTTTCAAAAGTTATAAAATGATTTTATATATTTTATTATTTTATTATTTAAGTGCACATTCAAAATATATATGCTTGCCTACAGTTGAGTCCTATTCATTAAATAAAGAAGAACTTACATATGTCAAGTACTAGCAAAACATATAGATTTATAGACATTTTTCTGAACAATGAGTTTTGTGGCATTCTTTATGATGTACAAGTGAATGTTTTTTTAATTGATTAAAATTATTTGTCAAATTTCTCATTACATGAGCTTTGAAGATTTGATCTATAATAGTACTTCAATAATATAGACATTTTATTATTGCAAGAGATTACAAACATGCTATTATAACATTAAAAGAAAGGAAGTGACCTATTTAACCAAAATAAATTAAGAAAATAATTGATGGAAAAAAAGATATATAAAAACAAAAAATAAAAAAATGTATAAAAGCCATAGACCTTTTATTTCAGTTACTATCCATTTTTTTAATTTTTGGCATCTAAGAAAATAAGTAATTTAAAGTTATGAAATTCTTAGGAGCCACTACAAGCAACAAGGGGTGTACAAGATGAGGATCAAAGGGAGATCAAATAAGAAAAAAGAAAAAGAAGTCGATGCAATCCAATACAAACATTACACAAGATAAGTTCAGATCAAAAATTAAACAAGTACATCATGTTAGAAAAGAAAACTAGAAACTAAAAAGCAATAACAACACAAAAGAAAAAAGAGGTTGCAATTAAAAAGCATTGAATACATTACAACAATGCAACATTATAAGAAGTATGCACATACAATCCCCTCTATCTCTCTTTGTTTTATTTTGTTTTGTTTTGTTTTTTCTCTCTTCTTTTCTCCTCTCTTGTTTATTTTATTTTATTATTCTTTTCAATGAATGTCTTTTTAAAAATAAAAATAAAAATTTTAAAATTGACCTATTTAACTTTTTATCTATTTTGTTAGAAAATATTTATAGAATAATGCTTAAAATAGTTCGGAATCTTATTAATATTTTTTGAGATCTAGTCTTGATTTAAGATTCTCTAATCTTTTACATTAGCATCAACCATTTTGGTTCATTTTTTTCTTATAATTTCTTTTTCTTTTTCTTTCTTTCTTTCTTCTTGGTGATTTTCTTTTGTTGGTTATACATAAATATAATTATTTTTAACATATATATATATATATATATATATATATATCTATTTTTTTGTTTGTGACAAATCTAGATTGAAGAATTTTACTTAAATATTTTGCTTTAAAGAAATTGTCAATCTTGAAAAGATTCCTACAGAGTATTGATAGGCTTCATTTGTTGAATGAAGCCTTGGTACAAGCCTTCTTTACTAATCGTTCAAACTAATACAGATTCAAATTAATATGCGTTCAAGCTAATACTATATTGGTTGTACATAACAAACTTTCTGTGTTCAAAGTCTATTCTTCAACCCATTCTCCTCCTTTCACATGCACGAACACCAATCTTTGTAATCCACTACAACAATTCAGGCAATTAGATTAGTATGACCTTGCTTTCACTGATCCATTTCTGGCTCCTCTGCCATCAAACCCACGCCAATCGCATCCGAACCAGCCACACTTGCCTGAATTTTTACATGATATTTTTGAAGTCAAAGTGCAAAAATTTACCGATTTTTCAGCTGAAAAACTGATCAAAACAATTGCTTGAACAAATTTTAGAGGTGGGTTTCACTTTATTTCGTGCGATTTCTCACGAATTGGCGCTATTAGGGTTTTGGCAAAGTTGGGTTCTTGAGACTAAGGGCAATTCATGTGTGGTCTACAGTTTCGGAGATGGTGAGGATGGTGTTAGCGTGCAGATGGTCGTGGAATTAAGCAGTAGTGGGTTTTTAGAGGGTGTTGGTTCTTGGAAGGTTGAACTGATTGATGAAGTGCAAATCGAGTTGCAATGTTGGATGATGTGGTCCACGAGCTTGGTGTATATAAATTCTTTTGCCCTTGTTGGTGGTTGTATTGGGACGATCAGTGCAATTTGGAATCATGGTATTTCTAGGGACATGCTTTCAGTGGGTCTGAGATTTGAGATGCAGTTTCTGAGGGTGCATGGTTTACATGGCTGAGGAACTACACAGGTGCTGGAGACAGAGGCGAGAGAGCGAGAGAGAGAGCCACCACTTTTTGCAACATCATGTGAATCTTGTAGGGCCTCTTTTTGTTATTTAATCTGTGTGCGATGACGAGGAGAGGGAGAGAGTTGCAAGGACGAAGCATTGTACTGATTGTATGCGTACTGTGAACTCTCTTGGAAAGGATCCCATTATTGCCACTGCATACAAGGGTAACGTAAGCAGAGGAAAATGGATAGCTTACTCTTGTTTGTACACATCTTAATACTGCATGAATCTCAACAGTGTGTCAATGTGGGTGTAAACTACCGACTCTGAGAATGCTATGAGAATTAATACGCTTATTATTTCACTGTTTCTAACATTGAGAGATACCTACTGAATGAGAGGGATCGAATGTCGGAGGGATGGAAACGATTATGATTCACTGCGGGCACTGATCACATTGCTTCGTTGCAGCGTGTGTGAATGCTGGTTTCATGGCGGCCAGCGTTACGTTTTGTAGCTTGTAGTGTTCCTAATGTAAGGCTGCTCTGAGGTTTCATCGTCATCTTGGTCGTCGTTGTGCATCAGCTTTAGAATAGAATATTACAAGTTGCATATGCACTGACGACTTCACATTGGCTCGTGATACGGAACATCGGTTGACTGATGTCCGAATCTTCCCAAATGTTCGAGCCAGTCTCAATTAGACAGCACCATCCCTCTCTATTTCTGTAGCATGTACTACCCTTAACACTGTTAAATTCACGAAGTTCTCGATTCTCACTGCATGTGAGTGGCTGTGTAAGTAATTCATGCATATAATTCCGAGTTAAAGTCGTATGTCTTGTGTAGCCACCGTTGCAAGTTACTCCATTGTTTTATGTCAGACCATCCATGGGCACTCTTAAAAATTGTTCTACGCTGATCTGGAGTAGAACTGTACAGCGTCCGATGCAATCAGTCACTGCGTTTTTGTGGTAGAGGGGGGGGGAAGGCATTATGATTTATTAAGCTCAATAGAGATGTCAGAACCTTCTACTAACGTGTTCTGTCAGCTCATGTTCACTGTAGTCAATCCCCTAAGCGCAACTGTAGCTTTTCAGCGCATACTTATTATACATAAGCCAAATATCTTGAAATGCACACGAATACACGATTTCACGCCAGTTATACGCAGATGTAACGTCTGATCCGAGAGTTGAAGATTACAGATTTTAAAATATACAGAAAGCTGATGACATATGTCGATGCGTTGTCATGGATGAACGTCAGGTCCATGCATGTCCTGATTTTTGTTAAGAAGAGACCCTTCTTTACCACGTTAGGGCCTGCAGACTGGTCAATTCCGTGATAATTTTAAGTAGTGTGAGACTTAGACTAGCACTCCACACCTTAGCTTGAAGATTCTATTGACCAGACATATGAGTTCGTAATCACGAGAATGGTCGCAAAGCCTACTGTACCATACACCAGCGATCTAAAATTGCACCTGCCGCTAACACCAACACTCCTTTTATTCGTCGGTGCGGGCTTGTTGACATTTTCCTAATGAATGAAGGGTAGATTGGCTAGGGCAATTCATAATGAAAATTGATGTCACATTGCACGGTCTAAAGATGGGACGTTTGAAGTGTGCGCATTGCTAAAGAGGAACTCATTATTCCCAACTTAATTGAGATCTAGTGCTGCATCACGATTTACAATTGAAGTATACCATGACTTTACTGCAAATCACTTCTTCTCTGGCCGTCCCCGACGCTTCTTTCCTTTCTGTGGCTCGGGAGCATCGGCTGGTCTTTTCGCAGACTTATTTAACTTGATGGGGTCAATTATCACTCCCGCAGATTTCAGCTCCTGTAGCACATTGAAATAACTTAATACAAGTGCAAATGATGTCCTTATCAGACTTAAATAATAAGAGAAAAATGACATGAATAAACTGCGCACTGCCACACAATTGAAGTTGAACACGAAATCCAACACATTTTTCTCTCCCTTTCAAAATTGTCTACACACTCTACCCCTCACAGGGACAAAAAGCTCTTGATTAAAATATCAACTGGCAACCTTAATAGGAAACTGGTTGTCCTCATACTTTCACAATCGTAATTGCAAGTGTAAATTAGATGCAGATGGTGGTTCAGCCACTGGTTGAGACACATAACAAACAAAATACAGCTTACCGCAGGACGAATCATATCACGAAATACTTTTTCGCCATTGTACTCTCGACCGATTGGCATTCGCAATGATTGCTCAAACACCTCTTTCGTCTTCATTGGAAAGGGCACCGTCGAAGTATGATACTTGGCGGCCTGGAAAAGAGAATGGTGACTTAGTAAAACTACACACACAGATTTCTATCCATTTCTCTATTAACATAATCAAGAAAGCAATTGGGAATCGCTACACAGCAAGGGTGGATAAACTAAAAGAAACCTGGCAAGGAAAACACTATTCAGGAAGGAATTTCAATCCTAGATGATATTATTCTATAATCGATATGCAACATGAGGACTAGATATGCACATACTTTCTTATCCGTCTTTTCAGAAATAACAACAAACTTAAGCTTTGCATCCTGCCGTTTCTTTATGGCTTCCTCCCTCCTCTTCTTCTCAAGATCCTCCTTCCAGCTTGACTGTACTCTCTTCTTCTGAATATGGCTCCACTGTCCCCATCCCGGCAATGTCTTACTCTCTTCAACTTGAACAGTTTCCTGGCCCAAAACCCGGGCCTTAGCATCTTGAAAATCCGCTTCCACATCGTCTCCTGCAAAGGCTTGCCGAATTAAGTCCTGTTGTGATGTACCTTTACCTAGAAGCTCCAGTCCATTGTTTGTCGGAGCATCATCATCGTCATCTAAGTCAAGGAATGATGTGGCCTGTCCAAGCTTCGGTTTACCAACTTCGGTATCTTTGTCAGGAGTTGCTGCCGCGCTGGGATTGGCAGCAGCAGAAATACTGCTCTGGAACCCTGTCTTCATGTTAAATACCGAAACCTGAATAACTCCACTAGTGTTGGTTTGCGGGTCTTTTCCTTGTAGAGATTCACTTCCTGTTGTCGGATGGGTTGAGTCAGTTTTTTTCTTCTTTTTATTGTTCTGTTTACCGGCAGGCTCACTAGCAGCACTTGTATCTTTGGTACAATCTACCTGATCTGAATTCTCAGAAGCCGTCGTCTGTGGCCCTTTGTTTTTCTTGTTTCTTTTCTTCCGTTTTCTACTGGATTCTTCAGGCAAACTCGACTCTTTACTAGATTTTGTGGGATCGGAACTTGACTGTGATTTATCATCAATTGAGCTCTTCGCTTCTGATTTGGAGAAGGCCTTCTTTGCAGGATGCATTTGGAACCTCCGCTTCTTGGTGTCATCTTCTTCTGAAACTCCATCGCTGTCGTCATCATTATCTTCCTTATCAAGTTCTAGATCTGAATAGTCGTCGCTGTTACGCTTCGTCTTGGATCGTTTCACATTCTCAGCTTTGGATGACACAGCAAGGTCTCCAAACGCAAGCCTACCAGAATGTCCAGCCTCTTCAATTTTATTTCTCCTATCCTCGTGATCTGCACCACCTCCATCGGCACCTTCATCTGCTTCAGCTTGCTCTAGCTGCTCAAGAATAGCTAATGCTTCCTCCCGAGCCTCATTTCTTTTCTTCTCGATGGCACGAGCCTGTGAAAGGAAACAAATGAGCACCAAACTGATATCAGCATCTTTGCAGAACGGATCAGTTACCTCCGAAAAGTGCACTACATAGGCCAAGAAGACAGATGGTCTTTATACTTAAAATCATTCCATTATCGAAAATAAGTGTTCTTAAAGACCAAAGAAGAGAAATTCTCGACATGAGATTCATTAGTAGTGATAATCGCTAAAGCAAGGTGAAAAGTAGCTTTGTGTTCAAGATCTCCTTGCGAAAAACAATCTCAACTCCACAAAGCAACGATGCTCACCATGAAAGGAAGCGCAAACAGGCCAGTCTGGGGGACTTCTGCCTCATCGTCAAACTGCAGGGCTTCAAGTGTAGCTGCCTTCGCCTTGGCAAGTAATCTTGATTTACCCTTTGTGGTTGAGGTACCCTCCTTGTCGTCTTCCTCTTCTTCGCTGCTACTGCTGCTGCTTTCCTCGCTATCGCTGAAGCCGGCAGACTGAATCTTCTTCGTCAACATACTGTGAGCTCGAAGCTGCTCCATGATGGCATCCCGCGTACCATCCTCATGAGCCTTCAAGCCCCTTTTAATAATCCGTTTTGCCCATCGTGATGTATTTTTGTGTTTTAAAGTCATGCGCTCCTGAAAACCAAACATCAAACAGCACAGCTCAGAAAAACTAACTGCCACAAACAAACTTGTTCCCGGGTCCCATACAACCAGTCCTGGTGGATGAATAAAAGAAATTATCATAACTCCTACACATTTCCATGTTTCCAATTACCTAGTTTAGTTACCATCCACAAGAAGAAGCAGGTTAAAACATGTTGATTATCCCAGAAAAAAACAACAATATAAGAAATCTTAAAATCTCATCCCAAAATATGACAATTAACACATGAAAGAACATATAGCAAACCTCAGCTCGCTTTTGTTCCTGTTTCAAAGCTGCCTCTTTTGCAGCCTCCTCATCTGTCTCCATGAAATCTCTCATCCTCTTGCTTTTGTCAAGTCGATGGAATGTCTTAGACTTAATCTTTGCAACACGTTTCGCTTTTGCCTCATGCTGAAATAACAGACTGCGCATCTTAGACAGTCGCTGCTGCCTTTCTTTAACCTCTTCCACGCTTAGCTGCGAATCACCAAAGCAAAGGAAAAAACAAGATGAGCAACTCCGGTAGAAGTAAACTGCGCCACGTCACTGTGAACAATTCTATTGAAATTTCCTTTCACCAGATAAAGCATGTGGTAAACTTGAAAGTATCTTAATGCTAACGAAGACTCTTTAAGTGAACAAGATCATACGTGCGGTTATGAGTTTGTAAACCAAAAAGCTTATTGCAGCACCGGGGTGCAACTTTCATCAGGTACTACAAAAAGAAAGAAATAACCTTATTGAGCTCAAGAGCTTCAGCAGCCTCAATATCCTTTGTAATCCCCATATTACTTTGTTCCAAAATCGCAGCAACTTCTCTCTCCATATCAGTCACAGGCGTATGCTTAGCTGCCAGTCCGGCAACAGTTGTCGTTGCGACGGTGGTCCTTTCATTAAATCTTATTGATGGGGCTTCACGATTCTGTTTGACCAGCGGCTCCCATTTTGTTACCTCTTCTCTACTTTTGTCATAACCTGCTTTGCGTTCCATTCTTTCTTGTATCACCTTTGGTAAAGGAGCACTGATAGCCAAATTTTCATTTTCCAGCGGCTGCAAGTTCTTACGTAGAGCGCCAAGGCCTGATGCCCCTTCAAGACCTCCCAAAAGATCCGCCACAGTAATGGATGAAGAATTTCCATGAACATTAGAATTCAAGTTAAACTCTGATTCTGAAAAGGCCTCTGACCTCACATCTCTTTTCCGCTCCGTGGCAGTATCATCTGTTACATGATGCAGACTGGTTATTTCTTAACTCAGACCGCATACATTCCCCGAAACGTGGGCTCAAATTGTGCAAGTTCACAGCATACGAAACTACAAAAAAGCACCTAATCTTATCTCTTATTGTATAAACACGCTACAAGGTAACCATCTCCACTGAACATTTTACAGCCAAGAGCGTGACGATGCCACTCATAATGCAACTCGAACTCAGAAACCTAAAGCTTGACCTGAACTATTCGACAACCCTAACTTACGTACCATTCCGAAGCTGGTGTGGTTTTCCGGTAACAGCCTCAAGCATCTGCTGATGCTTCTCGTCATCGTCCTCCTCTTCCTCCTCATCCTCTTCATCCTCTTCATCTTCGTCGCCAGATTCTTCGTCGTCTTCCTCTGCAGATGCAGGATCCTCCTCATCACTATTAAGTGATACATCACTCTCGTCAAGAGAAATATCTTCTCTCCTCTTCGTTTTGATATTTTCTTCCAGTCCGATATCTTCTTCTCCAAAAGCAGCATCTTCGTCAATCTCTTCGTCCTACGCCACAATAAATGCAGTGTTGAATAAACGCATTATAGAAAATACATGTTGAAATTGGATGACCTTCACCGATACGACGTTATGACGGAATTCTCACAAAAGCTAAATGTTCGCGTAAGCAATGGTATCCCCGATTAAATAAGCCACCCGAAAATCACTGCTCAACAGAGATTGACACCCAAAACAACAAAAGGCCACTGCGTGTAGTTTGGTAAAACAGAAACCTCATACTCCAATCCAAAAATGAGACAGAGGCTAGGAACGAAAGTGAATTAGACAGAGCAGAACCTCGAAATCGGAAGGCAGCTCGTACTCCACGTGCTCCACACTGTCATACCGCTTGTTCTTTCCGGTCTCTTCCTCCGCTACTCCTTCCTCATACTCATAAAAATCCTTGACCATCAAAACCTCCTCCTCCTCCTCATCCTTGGCCTTACGTCCATCGTCCAACTGTCTCAGCAACCTGGAATCCAACCTCGGACCCCTCCCGCGGCCTCCTCCTTTCCCTCCCACACCACCAAGACCTCGACCTCGACCTCCACCGCCACGGCCACGATTCCCACCTTGCCGCCCCATCTCGCACTACACGGATTCAACGAAAACCTCAATAATTCCACGATAACCACCCAAAAGCTCGCGATACGGAGCTTCGGCTGATTCAGAGGGCAGGCAATGCACCGCCTGCAGCTAGCTTTGCCTTGGCCCCGCAAAGCTCATAAACCCAAGATAAACCCTAATTGTGAAATTCCACACTAGCAGGGTTCTGGAGATGAATTTCGACGCAGGTTCCTACATCCTTTCGTGAAACTTTTTCCGCCCATGATCGGACCACCCCACATTGCAGGTAACGGATGAGGTTTTGGCCACGGGCAGTGCTTTATTCATCCATTCAGAGCTGAGAATTGTATTAGTGTATATATTGACGGGCAGCCTCTAAAATTCCAATTCAAAATTCTGGACTCCAACTCTTACAGGTCCCCATGTTTTGTTTTAATTAGGATTTTCTGTTCTCTAAAACAGTGATAGAGATAATGCATGGGATTTAATCCAGAAACCACCAAAAAAAGACGTTGCCATAATTCTTAGATTTCCTTTATTATTATTATCATTATTATATATTTTTTTGTATATAATAGGAGCATTGAAATTGTTGATTTATTTATTCAACAATAGAGACAGGAAAATTACTCTTCTTTGCTCGCGCAAGAGCACATGCTTATATTTGAAGAGCATGCAATAAGAAATGAAACCCTAACACACTCTCTACCTCTCAACTTCTAATTAAACAAGTGAATTCATGCCGTGTCTGTGAGGAACCATCTAAAATAATACAATGCATAAACTCCTCCAAAGAAAATATATGGTTTGGAAAACAATGTAAATGACTAGGTGTGAATGCAGCAAATTCCGGATAGGGAATGGTAGAATCCACACGACAGTTCTGCTCGCAACATGGCCAGCTGACTAGGTTCGGAAATGAAGCATTCCACCTTGCGTAAATGCTGGGTATTCATAGAAGCATGCTTGGCCGGAATAGATGGCACCTCTACGACAATTCCGGCTGGAACCAACGCCGGAATCAGCGTCATCATTCTGTGTGACGCGTTCCCATCAGAACGTCACACACGCGAAACGGGACCCGAGACCCTAATTTCAAGTGCAATCTTCTTCCGGGGGGAGTGATGGTGTTGTGACTTTGCGGCAGATTGTTGGATCGATTGTTGGGGGACAATTGCAACAGGTTAGACTTTTCTACGATCGTTTTCTGAATAGGTGTGCAATTGGACTCCTCTTTGCGTTTTCGATTCTGCGGTTGCGTGATATTCGCGAAGTTTACACTTTCCTAGTAAGATTCGTCATCGTCTCGTTTCTGTAGGGCTTTGACGTGCCAATTTCTGTTGTTCTGTTTAATTTTCTCGTGAATTTTGAATTTGAAAATCAGCTTGTCCTTAGGAAGTTCTCGGATGGCTTATCCAAGTGGGAGCTGTCCGCAACCCAGTGCAAGGAATTTCGCGAATATGGTAGATTTTGTAACTAGGGTTTGCTTGTTTTTCTTTTCACAGGGGTGTTGAAGTAGAAGAATCAGGATGTGGGCAGCCGGATGTTTGGCGTCGTGTTGCGCATCATGCGCATGCTCGGCATGTCAGGGGGTAGCAAGTGGTATTTCTCGGCGCTCAGCTAGGATTGCCTATTGCGGCCTATTTGCTTTGTCACTTATTGTTTCGTGGCTTCTCCGTGACTTCGCCGGGCCTTTGCTTGCGAAGATACCATGTAAGTTACTCATTCCCGTACTTCTGAACCTCGGTTGTAGCCTGTCTGAATGTTTCTGTATTTGTTTTGTCATCAAATTCAGTTCATATGGTTAGTGTTTTGACGTTTTTCTTTCTTCGATAGGGATCAACACCTTCACCGACACGCCCAGTCCAGAGTGGTTTGCCACACAAGCGGTTCTCCGTGTGAGTTTGGGGAATTTTCTGTTTTTCTTAGCGTTTGCAATCCTCATGATTGGTGTTAAGGACCAGCGTGAGCAGCGAGATTCGTGGCACCATGGCGGCTGGATGGTGAAGCTTATACTGTGGTGTATTACGATAATACTTATGTTTTTCCTCCCAAACGGTCTCGTCAGTGCTTATGGTGAGTTAAATTGCATTCTTTGAGTTTTAAATATCACGTTCTTCTTCTATCTGCACATGCGAATTGTCTGACGGCATATCATAAATGAGCCGATGAAGGCGCAATATCGACCAAACTAAAGTAAGATATTTCTTCGTGAAATCACCTGATGTGGCTTGGTGGTACAGTTAACCTGCCTTCTCTACAGTCGGATCTTCGTCTCTAGTTTCAACAATTGTTGTGTCAGATGCTGAATAGCATTACTTTGTAGGCGACGTCACGATCTAATACATGATCGTGTTAAATAACTGTATCCATCAACGGAAATATTTCAGTTAGCACAGTTTATAGCGAGATCAGTCAAATTCGCGGTGATTGTGAAAATAACGTGTTCAATAGATTACTAGTTGAAGCTTATCCTTCTCGCTAGCTGTTGTAACTACGATTGGTCTTAACCATATTCGTACGTGCTGAGTATGTTGCGCCAGTCCCTGATAGTCCCCAAAGCATGCAGTTATTCATGCAATTCACATTCGCTTAAGGTCATGATAAAAAGGAGGCTCTAACTACACTAAGTTCCTTGCAGGCAGCGTTTCCCGCTTTGGTTCAGGTCTGTTTTTGTTGATCCAGGTTGTCATTCTCCTTGACTTTACTCACAACTGGAATGCTGCCTGGGTTGCCAAGGATGAACAGTTCTGGTGAGCAACCTGTATATTCTATGTCATTTTATTTAGAAGTTACGTTGACAAACTTCAAATCTTCGCTGTGAAAGAGTGGATGGGTATTCCTCTTACATACGATATTTTTTTTACTGGTGCAAAACTTGACCCTTGTGTGTGTGTGTGTTTGTTTTGTTTTTGTTTTTGTTTTTGTTTATTTTTATTTTTATTTTGTTTTGTTTGTTTGTTTGTTTGTTTTTTTTTTGTTTTTTTTTTTGTTTGTTTTTTGTTTTTTGTTTTTTTTTGACTAGGTGTCATCACCATTAATCGGAGTTTGAATGGGTTTATGTGTGCAGGTATATAGCATTGCTAGCTGTATCCATTGGTTGCTATTTGGCAAGCTTTGTATTCTCTGGATTCCTATTCCACTGGTTTACACCGTCAGGAGTCGATTGTGAGCTAAATACTTTCGTCATTGCCTTCACTCTCATTCTTGGTGTATCCTTTGCTATCGTTTCCCTGCATCCTCAGGTGCGTTGTTCGACTGTTTTCACTTTTTTTTCCGTTGATGTTTGTTCTTCCCTTAATTAGGCGAGGTAGATGATAATTTTACTGCTCATGTTCGACCCTGACAATCGATGTGAAATTTGATAACACTAATTACAGAAAATGAGAGGTTTTCAAGGCCACAACTATAACTGTTGTAATTGTGCAATGTAGGTGAATGGCAGTCTTTTACCAGCTGGCGTGATAGCAGCTTATTGCACCTACCTTTGCTACAGTGCGTTGTCAAGTGAGCCTCGGAATTATGAGTGCAATGGCCTTCACAAGCATGTGAATGCTGTATCGAAGGGAACCCTTGGCCTGGGCATGCTTACCACTCTTCTCTCTGTTGTGTACTCTGCTGTGCGCGCCGGTTCATCCACTACCTTCCTGTCCCCACCCAATTCTCCAAGAGAAGGTAACCTGTTGTTTGGTCCCTGTGCAGTTATGATTAATCTGATTTTAACTTTGTGCTTTGTTTATGCGATTTTTGTCATCTCCAGTTTTATCTGATCTTCCCGCTCTCTGATATTTCAGAATCCTTGACTTCCGTTTTTTAATTTTTTTGTTTTGATTTTTGATTTTTTTATCCTCTTCCTTTTATGGCTAATTCTTGAATTTGCTGCTTCAAAATCAATGTTGGCCTTCTCATGATTTAAGGCTTATAGTAAGGGCCTGAGGATTATACAGTAAGAGTTCCTGAGAAAATTCACTTTTACTATACATAATGAGATCACGTATACAATCTACTCGACAGATCTTTCCGCAGTCACATGTTTTGACCACTCTGCTGATTGATGCCTTCGATGTCCCAATTTGCGTGTAACGGCAGCGTTAGATCATTGTGATTCGGATAGAGACGTTCATCAAAAGTTCTGTTGTCCTAGATATGTCATTCACAGTTATTCATGGTTGTATTAAGTGATGTTGACTATTCGGATGTGTTGCAGACAGCTAATAACGTTTTTTGAATTCAGGATCATCTAAGAAGGCTCTTCTTGCAAAAGACGATGTTGAAGGAGCTCTAGACAGTGATTCAGATGATGATGATAAACCGATTCGCCGAGGAGGGAGACACAGCAAGGAGCCTCGCCCAGTTACATATGTCTATAGTTTCTTCCACTTGATCTTTGCCCTCGCTAGCATGTACTCTGCTATGCTTCTTACTGGTTGGGGAAATGCGAACATGGCTGAGAAGGACATCATCGATGTGGGCTGGCCGTCTTTCTGGGTCCGTTTCAGCACTGAAATGATTACCGCTGGACTTTACATCTGGTCTCTCGTCGCTCCTCAACTTTTCCCCGACCGCGACTTTTCCTAGATGCCAGTTGCAATATATAGTAGGCGTACTTATGGTGGCCGCTCTCCATCAACCCCTACCTGCTGCATCCAATGTATATAGATTTTGGGTTCCTCTAAATTTCATCTAGTGTGTTTCCAAGTTCATCTTTAAATGTTCAAAAGTACCTTGGAAAGGCTATTCTAGATTCTCAGACATCGTCACGTGGTTTGAATCAAATCAGTTTTTTGGGAAATCATTGTTAGTTTATGTAGGCTATTGTTTGCAAGTACTGGTGGCTGACGTGCAATCGATGCTTTTCCTCCTCCAGTCATGTAGTATTTGTCACATCCCTTGGTTATGGATAGAAAAGGGGATGCTCTGCTGTAGTGGCACTTGATTAAATAATGGTGTTTGATAGACACCTCTCCAGTTTTCTGTAGGTTAACTCCTTTGTGCTCATTGGTGAGTAACGTTGCTTTTGTATAACACCTGTGCGGTATTAGTCTGAAAGAGATTGTGGGATCCCAATTGGATAGCAGAATTCCACTTGGGTCAAATTTCTTTTATGTAACATTATATGATTTTTTGCAGCTTTGTGCGAACTCACGTGCAGTTGTAGGGGTAAACAACTTGTTTTATGAATCTGATCAGGAGCAGTTGGAGAGACCTCTCTCAAACGTCATGTGATGTGTCTCGAGAGGCTGATTGGGGAGCCGAAGTCGAGATATTTTCTTTAGTATATTCAGGGTAGTCTTCTGGTAACAGATTTGTATTGGCTAGTCTTGTACCGTACAGCGTAGTGACCATGATGGATACATGCCATCTTGGATGCAATTGGATATTAAGTCTAGTTGGTGTGAAATCACCAGTGCAGTAATTTTCTGCATTTCTTTTTTGTCGCATGGCTTCATCAAGTTTCTCTTTAAAGCGGCTCTGATATTATGTCTCCATGATGAAGAGATATGGCTACCAATTTCACAACAACTTTCTTTTAGGTGAATTCGTTACGGGGCCCACGAAATGGAAAAATAATATAGTGGACACTGGAATACGAGTCATCTAAACAAGACTTCTTGTCGGACCCCAAAGAATCAAATTCCTATTCTCAATTTGAAACACTGTTTATGTACAGCAATAGGTCGTAGTAATCGTTATAAAGTTTACGAATATTTAACGAGATTCTGGGAAGTGTGCGCTACAGAGGAAGTGAAACGTCGTTGAACGGAGCGCGAGGTCACTTTTGAGGCATTGGTTTCTTTTTTTTAACAGAACTGTCGACATGCCCTAGAAGCCACTACAATGTTAACTGAGCAATAGAAGCATTAATATAGTAATGGGCGATGAGGGGCCACTGGCAGACTGCAGAATGAGAATATTAGGATACAATTTATGTGGCAATCATTGAATCACGGTGCCGCCACAACTTGTATCACCGTCCACCACAATGCCTACCAACATTCCGCCTTTAAATCTTCCCGCAGTATCCTCTCGCAACTTACATCATGCACGAGTTACGTAAAGCAGCTCTCCAGCTACTATCGACATATCGCGATCACGACAAGCTGCAAGTACTATTCCAGAGTTATGTGGATCCTCCAGAATCCGCTCGTTGGTTTTTGTTCGTATACTGTCACACCGCGTTGGGGGTCGCGCTTGGCCAGCGCGTCTAATGCAATGGACGGACTGGGATCGGAGTGAAAGGAGAATATACAACTCCAGAGACTATCATATCCCTGGACCAATAGCGAATGGTAGCGAATCTGCCGTTTGTCGCCCATGTGGGCTGTACTTCACGCACTACCTCACCAACTCCTTATGCAAACGCCGCTTAGTTCGGTTAAAAGCTCACCCAACCATTTGTGCCGATATTTGTAGTTCATTTATCGATCACTAAGGCTTTTAGTGTTCGATTGTTCATTGTCGTTTTCCAGTTGCCATGCTCATGCGTTGCTGTTGCCACTGCAGCCACCCAGGCGTCCGATGCCTGCTTTTCCGTGCATCACCCTGATAGAAATATAGAAACAACCACTTGTCTCGGGAGCTGGTTGCGGTTGAATCATACTCGAGATTCAAGGAAGCACCGTGTCGAACCATATCAGTTAGGCGTTGTGTAGATGGATCATCTGTATGATTAAGAGAATAAGGTTGCATGCGATCGCAACAGTGCAAGTAGAATGATGTCTGTAGTCCCTGGTGCCGATTCCCGTAGCTTAGAGGAGGGGAATCTGGGGCCAACGAATCGTGGCCCTCCTCAAATATCCTTTCAACAACGATTCTGGAGTGCCGATCTCGCTCCTAATGTCGATGAAGCTCTCGAAGCATCAGACGAACATAACGTCGTGCGTGTTACTATGTACCATGATCCTTCTATGACTAGTCTCTGTGGGTGGGGGGGCGAAATTGAGGTTTCTGTGCACCCCCAGTTGCATCAAGGCGTAGAATCTATCCCTTCAAGTTGTTCAAATATTGACAGTGCGCAAGCGATCGATCCATCTCCACGTAATACTCCTTCTCAAGCTGGAACGCAGCGCAGTACTGAAGCAGCACAATTGGCTTCTCCAAAAGTTGCTGATATTATTCGCCGTAATTCAACTACTGATGGGAATGGAGTCCACAGAAAATCAAGTATAGAAACCTCTAAATTTACACAAAATATCGAGTCTGACAGTACTAGCGTAGTTGTCTCCAGAGCAAGTGTGCCGGGAGAGACGAGGGTAAGTATTCATTGCGCAGAACAACCATGCAACAGCACAAGTAGACGACCCTGTCAGTCCCAGCCTACATCACCGGTAGCTCACAGACAAGCTCAATGCAGAGCTCCACATGAGTTTGCCCATTCCGGACCTTTATCTCAAGCGCACATGAACAGCACACTCGAAAGTAGTCCCTGCACGTTTCTTTCTAATCCAAACGAGTTCCCAGGCCAACAACGGGGTCGCTCCTGTGACAACTTGATAGCCTCAACTGAGACCAGTACGCAACCAGAAGGTCCTCGCACCCGCAAGGGTAACTACGGACTGTTTCGGACGCGTTCTACGTCTGGCTCCAGGGGAAATTCTCTTACAAACGTGGAACAGGATGGCAGGGCAGGCAACGCTCAAAACGGAGAGATTCAACTCTTTGAAGAGGAGAAGACGCCGAAGAATGTCAGTGCCGGACTCTATTTCGACGCGCTGAAAGGACCCGAACTCGAAACTCCGAGGGTAAGGTAGTTGTTACTCGATCTGTGGTTCCAAGAATTTGCGTATTAAAGGGCTGATAAATTAATAACTAAAAACATTACTCGATACTGCTCAATCAGGAATCGGAGGATTTGCTACTCCCTCGCGAGGAGCTGTGGCCGTTCCTACTTAGATTCCCAATTGGCGCGTTTCGTATTGGCTTGGGGCTGGGGTGTCAAAGCGTCTTGTGGAGAGACTTGTCTGGAGTGGACTCTATGAGTGCATTACATATTCCACACACCATCCATGTGGGCATCTGGTGGGTTGCTCTCGCCACTCTTGTTGTCAACTCTGCCATCTACCTTGCCAAGTGTGCGGTATACTTCGAGGCAGTGCGGCGGGAATTCCACCACCCTGTGCGAATCAACTACTTCTTCACGCCGTGGATCACGGGCATGTTCCTCGCCCAAACTTTCTCTCTGGGAGATGGAGTCGTGAGCTCGACGGTGTTGGCGGTCTTAATCGTCCCCATCGTAGTTCTCGAACTGAAGATCTACGGCCAATGGTTCTCTGGCGGCGAACGGCGCCTCTCTAAAATAGCAAATCCGTCCACACATCTGGCGGTGGTGGGCAACTTCGTGGCTGCGAAACTGTCGAGCTACGTGGGATTTGCCGAGATAGCCGTCTTGCTGTGGGCAATCGGTTTTGCTCACTACTTAGTCCTCTTCGTGACGCTCTATCAGCGACTGCCAAGCTCAAATGTCACCCTTGCCAGAGAACTCCATCCCATATATTTCCTCTTCGTGGCTGTTCCTAGTAGCGCCAGCGTCTCGTGGAAGTACATCTCTGGCTCCTTCGGCAATGTTTCCAAAATCTTTTTCTTCATCTCACTATTCATCTACGCCCTGCTGGGTGTCCGATTGAACTTTTTTCGCGGCGCTAGGTGATTATCCTTCCTCCTACTAATGTTCTCTTTAAGCTGCTACAGTCATATGTTCTGAACCGAACTCACCCTTCCCGTTTTGAGCAGTAAGGATTATTCTTGATTGCGTTTCAAGAGATTGATGGTGGAATCTTTGCTGAGCAGATTTTCAGTGGCGTGGTGGGCGTACTCATTTCCGATGACAGCAGCGGCAATTGCCTCCATCCACTACTCCCAACAAGTTCCAAGCTACATCTCAAAAGGAATTGCCATTTTCCTCTCTGTTGTAGCGTCCGTGACTGTACTCATCCTGTTTTGTTTGACGTTTCTGCACGCTGTGGTGTGGAGGTCTCTATTTCCGAACGATATGGCTATAGCTATCGCAACTACCAAGCACCACGGTAAACTTGTGATACGGAAGAAGAATAGTAGCCCGACTAGACATTACCCTGGGCTGCTGACATCAGGTGATGACAAGTTTCGTACAGCACCTGATTTTACGGTTGAAGTGCTTCAAAGCAAAACCCCGTCGCATAATCTGACGAAACTATTCTCGATTAAGAGCGGAAATGTAGCCACTATGATGGATAGGTAACGTCTTCAGAAGCCCAACTGTATTTAAAACAGACGTGGAGTGTACAGTGGGGTACAGAAATAATTCGAATTTTTTTCTAGAGCACCACTTTTGCTAAAAAAATCTTGTTGTTCAATTGAATGTTGTGATCATGTTGGAAGGAATTTTTCCCCGACACTTGGCCATCTATTTTTGGAGTGCAAGAGGTGTCTAATTGCATGTAATTAGCCATGTGTCTTCAAAAGCAGATTGCAAATGTGATGATTAATGTGGAAGTGGTTAGGTGAGCTAAAAAATCACAGTTGCAATTAGGCATGCATGCAGCCAGCAAAATGGAGTGATAGCATAGAATGCTTGGATGGGGTGACTTATATAATCCATCTGAAGATGTGAAGCACATTGCACTGCCACAGATTGAGATTGTGAAGCACATACAGATTTTAGAAGTGTTCTTTTTTGGTTTTGGACATCGTTAGCTTCAGTGACTCCTCTCCTTCAAACTAGAAGTTGGTTTGTGCTATTTGAAGGCTTACAGCAAGCACCATGAAGTACAAAACATTGTCCCCTATACAGAAGAATCAGATTGTGGGGATGAGGAAGGCTGGGATGAAGTGTAAGGACATTGCAGAAGTCTTCAGTGCTCCCTGTTCCACCATTTCAACTATCTTGAGTCATTGGAAGGTCCATAGAAGTGTGGAGTAGTTGAAATCACAATGTGGCAGACCCAGGAAGTTGTCTGAGCGGGATTTTCGGGTGTTATGTCATGCTGTCAGTTCAAATAGAAGGCATACTCTAGTAGAACTTGCAAACTTGGTGAGTGTTTCCCGAACTACTGTTCGATTCTACCTCCGTGAGCTTGGTTTTAGAAATTGTATAGCACCTAAAAAGCCCTATTTGAATATCAAACATAAAGCAGATAGGCTTGCATTTGCACGTGCTTATGAGAGTTGGACGTTTGAAGATTGGTGTAATATTATTTGGACGGATGAATCGTCATTCGAAACTGGCAAAAATCCACGGCAAATTAGAGTGTGGCGGAAGGCGTACAAAAAATATAATTGGGATTGTATAGCACCAAGTTTTAAGTCTAGACGTAGTTCAGTGATGGTTTGGGGTGCCTTTACTGGCTTTGATAAGTCTCCATTGGTCATCATTCTTTTAGATAAGAGATCAGCAAGGGATTTTGTCACTATTGTTTATGAAGGAGTATTAAGTGGCTTTTATTTCTTACATGATGACCTTGAGCAATTGATATTGATGGAGGATGGCGCTCCAGTCCACCGTAGCTCATTGCCACTGCAATGGAGATGTGCTCATGGTATAGAAAAGTTGTTTTGGCCTGCCAATTCACCGGACTTGAATCCAATAGAGAACGTTTGGATGGTTGTAAAAGATTTGCTCAAACATCATAGTAGACCTAATAGTAAGCTAGAAATGATAGAAAAAATTCAATCCGTATGGGATACCATATCTATAGAGTGGCTTCGTACATTGATTTCCACTATGCCTTATAGGATGCAAGCCGTGATTGCAGCTGGGGGTGGTAGTACGAGATGGTAGATAGTATGTAACAAAAAGCTCTCTTGATGTATATTTTCACAACTTTATAATGCAAACTTGTTACACCATGAAACTAGATTCTACTATCTTCGCAATGCATTTTAAGGCTCAAAAATGCGTTCATTTTTGACACTGCTGGAGCTTTTTGAAGTTCAGTGATTTCTAACACTGATTCACTTTGAAAAAAAATTCGAATTATTTCTGTACCCCACTGTACAGAGTGAAAAATCGCGAGGTAAAGTAAGATTTAGAACCCCTAAAATTAATTCTTAGTTATCATCCATTGAACGTTTATTTTAGGTGTAAAAAAAATAAAAAAAACGATGTGATTGTATTCTTTTGTCATTTTCTATAAAATAAGCTTATTCTTCCAAGTATTTTTCTATTCATATCCTTTCAATTGCAATTAAAATTCAGATAAATTCCATAACAGTAAACTCACCAAATTCATTCACGTAAATTTTACAATATCTTCGAATGAAGGAATGCTGATATGCCAAGTCTTGAGTGATAACATCACTGCATGCAAACATTGCAGCCACTACCTACAAGTACCCTCTTTTCCAATCAATTATACACCCTGTCAGAAATTGCTGTACTTCTTTTACTATAGCAGATCTAAGTGATATCAATGAGATTCCAATAACAAATTTGTAGCCACTGTGATATCATTCCGAGCAACCGCCAAAGCTTGCATGGCATCGCTTCGATCAAATCCCATCGCTACTAAAGTTGCAATATGCTCTTCTGGTGGTGCAGTTAGTGGCGGTGCACTAGCAGCAAAACGATGCTGCATGTCATGTCAGACGATTGTCAGAGAACCTACGAAATAAAGTACGGTAGATATGAAGCCCTACAAAAATTTAGTTTGATTGGTTCGTTCTAGTTAAGCATGATAATCAGTCAACTGTAAAATTGCACGAATATCTACTAGATTGAAATGCATACCTGGAATGCATGACCATTTTGACCCGAAGCTCTTCCTCCCCTAGCTGTTGGTGGTGCAGAGTTTGACGAAAGAAGTGGCGCGAACAGCCTTGCAGCTGCTGCTGCCAACCCTTCTGGAAACTGAACAAAGAAAAAGACTTAAAAATAGAACCAAAAGCAGTGCATGCTCACACGTGTAACAGCAGTATGTGAAGGACGTAATAACTTTGTAAGAGATGCATCAATGAATTGAAAAAACGAGACATAGCATTTGCTCAACAAGCATGCAAGAAGACTTAGAGTTCAACCTTGACTTTCTTGATTCCTAAAACGTTGGACTTGTAAAGAAACCCTGCTACAAGTCCACAAACTCCGGGAATAAGGGACTGCTTCCATGATGACAATAAGAGCTGCAAAAAAAAACCCAGACAATGTAATAAGAATTTAACATTGTCAATAAACACACACAGAGAGATAAGTGCCATGTTACACATGAGAGTCAATTTCTAAGAAAACTGAATTTATTATTGAAAGGTACCGGTAAGATGAAGACAGACGTAAATAAGAGTTACCTGCAAGCCTGCCAAATAAACGAAGGACTTGTCCGAGAAGCGTGCTCCAAAAACTTTGAAGCGGGTGGAAATTGGGATGTCGAAGAAGAAAGGGACAAATAATGCAAACATTAAGCCATAAGGCCCAGGTGTCAAAGAGATTCCTGTCAAAGATGTTGGGTCTGCAGATAAAAAAAATCCACATGAACTGCCATTTCGTACCAGTCATAGAGTTCAGACCAAAATTTGCAGAGACTAAATTTTATTGTTTAAAATTAATAGTAAAGCCCCCCAAAAGAAAACAAGGTATCTACGATAACTCCTGAGGACCCAAGAGCAGAGTGGACTACAAAATACGTTTAGTAAAAAACAAGCGTACGGATTCTTGGGTACCTTGTAAGGCAGCCAGTGCGATCACTTCAAGGGTTGTCGAGATTATTGTTGAAAATAACACAAAAAACTGTCAGATCCACTTGCTTTGGTTAGTTCGTAAGGAAAGGACAGGGATCAGAACAGTTCGCACTATATACATTAACACTCTGTCAGCAAGTCAGCATTAGTATATCATCCTATCCACGAAAGGTGGAGGAATGCAAGATGAGAAGAACAAGCCATACCAAGTATTTATTCGACCCAATTTGCCTTTCAAATACTCTGAAAAAATAAATTAGGTAAAGTCCAAACAAGAGCTCCGATGTTGATGAAAACACACATGGGGACGAGAGCAAGCGCCAAAGCTGAAGTTTTTGTACAATTTTCTGTCACGCCACAAATCCAAAACAAAAGACAAGCTTCAATCCAATTTGATTCTTGACCTCGTCCTAAAATTTGATGATTCATGTTTTCAGAAAGTAAACTCTGTGGACAAGTAGCATTGCTGACTAACTCTGTTGGGCTATTGAGTACAGCTTCATCTAATATTGAATCAAGACCTGTCAGAAAAGATTCATCAATACGTAAGAGATATCTAAAACACTATACCTGGTAAGAAAGGCTCAAAGCCCTCGCACCGCCCTGAGTGCCTACCAGCACCGAAGCCAGACCACACGCCATCACTATTGCCTTGGTCACAGGGGCATTGTCTGCAAAAGCCAAGTCTACGATGTCAACTATCTCGTGCAATATCTTACTCGAAACAATGTAGATCAGTCTAATCGAGGTATGATAAGATAAAGGGAGCCAGCCACCGATAGTCTCAAAACCCTAAATGTATTTGTCATCAGAGGAAGAACAGTATGTCCTCAAACACTGACCAACTCTAATATTGAGCTGCATCAATAGTGCTAGCTTGCAACACCAATGTCAAAATTTTGAAGTTACAATCTGCAATTTAGATTAAAAGACAGCTACAGAGCATATTGTAAAATCAGAATAAACTTATTCCTAAATTAAAAGGGATGCAAGACCACATGAAAAATAACATCACCATAATCCTTAGTGCAACAAATCACTCATCACTGCAAATACCATCTTGTTCAAAAATTCTAATTCAAATCCACTACTCGACAAAATAAACCACGGACCACAAGGTAGACTTCAAAAGAAACCCTAAAAATGATCGAGTAAAACCTCGACTACACTGTAAGGCACCTATTTGAGTATAACTGAATCAAGCGTGCATTCACAAGATATATATATATATATATATATATATATATATCAGAAAACAAATCTACATGAGAGAGAGCGAGCGAGAGAGAGAAATCGTCAAAAGACTGGCTTACGGAATCCTGAAGGTCCCGCGTTCATCGTGTACGGGTCCTGGAACCCCTACAGAAGCTCGCAACGCCGCTGCTACAGCTAGCACACGATAGCGATATTCCTCTGTGCAGCGACCTCGGCTCCTCGAACCTAAAATCCTCGCACCTCACACGGTCTTCCTCAAACTAGGGTTTCAGCATTCCAACCCCACATCAGTGCAGATTCCTGTAACACTTCTGTTCATCATTCCCCTCTTCCCCTCACTCCTTACAACATTTACACCTACTGAAACCTAAACTTCCGCGCGCAATCAGCCCTACCACGCGCCCAAACAACAAATCTACCTTGTCAAAAATTGCGCACTCGCCAATTTATCACAACTTTTCAGAGTGTAGCTACTGACGATCAACCCTGCAGCCGAGGAAGTCAAGATCTCCCTCTCGCATCCGCACGCACAAGCACTTGAATGGAGTAAAATCCTGTCAAATAGGACAGGGCAATTGTGAAATACTAGTTGTTGATTGAAGCACGCACCGCATGAAAGCCAACAAAGGACCGAGCGAGAGAGTACTTGGAGCGTAATCAAACCTTAGATGGAAACCTTGAAAGCAGAAACAGGCTGCTTCTGTCAGACGATCGTTCCTCACTTCGACGACCGATTTTATTTCTCGTTTTCTGTTCGGTTGACCTTACAGGGTAAGCGCCGGGAGATATAAGACACGACACATTGCGAAAAGTAACCAGAGCATCTTCGGACAGAAAGCGAACTATTCTGGACGAAATATTATCGTCGTCAACGAGAAGGTGAAGAAGACGTGGATTGTGGACAGAGTTTGTATTTCAGATCTGGACATTGCACAATAGAGGTTGATATGATATCAATTCGCTTTGTCTGTTTAAGTGGGGAAGAATAAAAAACACCCAAAAGATTTTTTTCAGAAAAGTAACATACTGTGCTCATAGTTCCATATTTGTGGAATCTCAGCTTAAACGTATAAATAAGCTGAAGCAAAAGCGTGCCCCGCTATAGAAAACTTGTTCAATTCTGTTTCACGATGAGGAAGACGATCGAGCCAGAGACGATGGCGTGCCTCGAATGGTTGTAGAAGTCAGTGACATGTCTTTAAAAATGGGTGTTGAGCATCGTTGTTCTAGAAGATCCCGTATCGAAGGATATGCCTCGCACTGAGATTCTTCCTCTCTGCATTTTGCGTGGAGTGGCGCTAATTAGAGGCCACAAGTTCGCTGGGTTGTTCAGAGCCGGCGATCTCACGGCACAAAACAACGGAAGTAGACTTGGGGGATTGATGACCCTACGAAGATGGCGTCCTTTATTGCTCTTGGAGAGGTTCCTATGACTTATTTTGCCTGTGCGCCACTTGTCGCACCGATTCTCTCACTACCGTCCCTGCTACGGCCATGGCGTTGAACGATTGCCTTTCACTGTGGCGTGAACGTGGCCTCTAACTGATGGGTTTCTACTGCATGCTGAGGCTGATTTGTGAACCATAGCACCAAATTCCATTGATGTGTTTCTAGTCGGTTTAGTTCGATCCTGGTTGTAGCGCCTTCTTCACTTGCGGTGTACCTTGGATCGGATTTAGCTCAGTATCCGCTGTGGACAGAGGCATCGGGTGCGCGCTTCCTATATTCCAATTTTGTGCAAATTCGCAAAATGTCTTTCAATTTCTGTGATTAGGTATTATGTTGAACACGTGGTCGTGCAGACGCTTTGAAGCGATGCCCTTGACAAATGTTGTATTGGACTTGGGTTTTCGTACAGTTGATGCAATTCTGTTTCAGGATGCAGCTTCTATTATAACGTTTACATTTTCAGTTTATTTTTTCGAAGTAGGCTTCTGGATGTGATCGTGCGACAGAGATACTCCTGGTGTAATTCATGCTCGCGCGCAATAGTTGCACATGACCATAGGCAAATCGCTTTGAAAGAGTCTTAGAGACCACTCATTCAGTTAGAGGTACCTCAAGAGTGCACAGTTTTTCGACTGTAGGTCGGATTCAGACAATGTGCAGACGCTAACTGATAGAGGCGATATTCTGTGCTACAAATTATCTACTGTTTCAAATTTGCTTACGAATTGTTTTGCTTTTTGTAACACACCACTAGCACACTCTTTAGATCTTGCTGACTTAGTGCACATGTGAGTAGTTTGTTCACTAAGAACTTCATCTTGCTTCTTCCATGAGGCCATTTTCAAATGCTTATTTTGGTGGGAAAGGGATCGCAATCTTAGTGGTATTATCAATCTCACTTCAAGTATTGAAAATTTTGAAGGTTTCTAAAGTCCTCGTATCAAACAAGAACGTGGTTTGCACTTTTGAGATGATTGATTCTCTCTGAGATGTTCTTCGTTTTGCACAGGGTTTTGTTCGATTTGAGCTAGAAAGTTATCATCATGACCATCATTCCTGAAAGAATAATATATTAACATTATTCTGTAATTGGATTTTCTCATTTTAACTAAAATTTTCCCTCTGGTGCTGCTCTGTTTCATATTTCCTGCAACTTTCTTGCGTACCGGACAGGAGATCATCTTGTAACAGACCGATGTTCGTGTGTTTGCACAGGTTTGAGCATATTTGTATGAGTGTGTAAAAGGAGGCAACAGAAAGACATCAAGTAGTTATGAAGGTGGATAGTCTGAAGTTTCTGAATACCGCACACAGCCTTATATTTGCGAAGGATGACCAAGAAAACCAAGCCATTACGTTGCCAGAAGCAGAAGACGTACAAAAGCAAGTGGAGATAAGCCAGGAGGGCGGTTGTCGAGTTCCCCCTTTTGTTCCTTACACCGCCACGGTTCCTTGGCATACCGGCTCAAGAAACCTGTTCTCTCGATTTTTCCCTAGGTATGGCAATTACTGCGGCCCAAATTATTCCAGCGGCCGCGAGTCTGGCTCACTTCACTGGGACAAACCACCTACTGATTGGTTGGATTACTGCTGCTACCGTCATGATATGGGGTATTTATCATCTTAACCTATCCTTTTCTGTGTAGTAGTGATTGCACTTGCACAGGGTCTGTCAAAGTTAATCGATTTTGCGCTCGTTGTTTATACTGTAATTTGAACTCTGCTAGGGCATTTGAATTTATCCAGGTTATAGTAAGCATTACTCGCCACTGAGTTGACTTGAGATTGTGTAGACTGGGTGGGAGCTTTTAGACACCAGCTAGAATGACATGATAATTCCGCGTTTTGTAAGGTATATTTTCCTGTTTACAGCATGATTTGTAGTTCCTATGCTGATTCTATGAGAGGAAGTGATCGTGTCTCTCACCAACATGTGTGCGCAAACAGATACGACACCCTTGATCAGGCCAAGTTACATGATGCGGACAAAAAGTTCCTGAATTGCTTGCAAAATATACCTGAATCAGAAAAAATCACATCGCTAGGACAAACTTATCGGAATCTATACGTACTGGGTAAGTATCTAATCTGATCACCTTCAGTTTAAGATGCCTCATAGTATCCTCCTGATTGAGCTCATGATCTGTACCTTCTACATGGGTTGATCATGAGCAAAGGTGTACCCTATTTATCAAAAACTAACATCGTGCAAAACCCTTAGTTGAGAACTTTTTCTTGCAAACAAAGTTCTTATATTGACAGGAATTCTTCTTCGAGATAAGTTGCCAAATTTTCTGGGTTGCCAGATTTGCCAGATATGAAGTGATTAGGTTAACACTGCAATTCACTGATATGCAGGTTTGGAGCGGTTCTTGATACCATACAGAGACTTCCTAGTTAAGAAAATAGATGAAGGAAAGCGAAGCAGAGAAACACCGCCGGAAATGATTGTCCAACAACAACGAAATGGTGCAAATTTAAATCGCAGCAACATTAATTGATTGCAAGTTTAACACAACTTCAACTTCAACCTGTTGTAAAAAGCGTAGACTAGATAACAAAATTTATCAATATTAGTCTAATAGACATGTCATATAAGAGGAAGAAATTTCGCAGGAACAAATCAAGTCCTACGACCATTGGTTTAGTAGTCCGACGACGATGGTTTGTTAGTACTACGACGAATGATAACGAAGAACATTAAGTAGATTAACCTCTATTCGAAGCAGTAAGTAGTATCTGCTTCGGCTTGTGGTTCCTTCGAGTTCTTTCATCTACGACCTTTCTTCAGGCAAAATGTGTTATTGTTCAGTCCGAAGAAGGTGGTTCTTTGTGCAGGACTCATTTTCTGTGGATTTTGCCATAAGATGGATTCGAAGTCACTGGACTTTGCACTGGGAACATCGATTATATGTGAGCCTAGGCCAAGTGGCTGTAAGGTAACCCGACTTGCAATAAACAGTGACTTTCAATTACCGTTAATGGATCTTCATGTGACGAAGTTCTGTTTGTTTCACATGGAGTCCGAGACTATCATAGGATACACATTTCTCATTTCTAACGGTATATGTTGGCCCTAAAAAGTTAATAGATTCAGAAGTAGTATTGTTCTACCTATTTACAATGTTCTTGAATGAGTGCAAATCATGTGGAAATACATAACGATTCAAAGTCATAATTAATTTTATCAATCTCTCTGAACAAATATCTGATAGTTGACATTCATTGGCAATAATAACTTAAGACACTTTGATGCTACACACTATTATGATGCAAACAGACCATTCAAATGTTTCCAAAGCTGTAATTATAATTGCATGAAATTTAGATGAAACAATTTCATACATTGCATACTTTAATGCTAACGTAAGGTTCCAATTTAATAGCTGTAAAGGTGGGATATAACTTCTTTCTCTGCATCTTACCACCAGAATTGTTACGGTGCAACATAGATGTTGGGGAAGTGTTCCACAAATTGGACGAATATCCCAAAACTAGAATGCTTTAATGCATGACTACTACAGTTGATCGCGAATAAGAAATAAAACAGAATAAATCTAAGAAATACTTGGATACCCAGCCTTGTAAGATAATCCCAACTAAAAAAATATAACTTCCACATCATAGCGCTGTACGATGACATGGGTTGATGAATACCTATGAAAATATGTATTAGAGAAGATTCATCTAGCAGATTCGTCCTCATTGTTTGGTACAATGTACTTAAACTGATAGGCGCCTTCATATAATTTTATTAAAAAAGCATTCTATACCAGTCGGCATGCCAAGCACAAGAGCTCTGGTAAACTAATCGTAGTCAGATTATGCAAGTGCTTCCCAAGACAGCAGTAACGCTGAATCACGTCACATGACTATCGATTACTACAGCAAGAAAGTAGCCCAGTTCTGCTGACAGAATATAGTAATAGGAGCATCCTCACAGCATAAGAGTAACAGGGTCCTCAATATAGGACTTGAACGCTCCCAACCATTGTGCACCCACAGCACCTGCCACAAAAATATGATCACATGATGTATGTAAAACAAAAATGGCCTACAACATGATGCAACAAGTGATTACTTCCAAATCAGACGGTAAAAAGCGTCAGGTTATCAACAGCGATCTTTAATACAAATGGTTCAAAACTTGTCAGGTTTGTTCGTTGAGCTTATTAGCACACACCAAGTTCGTTCGTTGAGGTTATGAACTCACACTAAGTTCGTTCGGCACTAATACATTTAAAAGATCAGAAACGGAACTTACCATCAATAACACGATGATCACAGCTCATTGTAACAGTCATAAAAGTGCCGACGTCATATTGATCTGGTGTAAGTCCTGGCACCAACCGCTTCTCAGCTGTGGATGATTTGACAACAGAAGATCAGTAATCGAAAGTGAAGTCCACTTGGATAACATTAAACGTTTAATGGTGAAAATCATTCATAACCTTCAAATAAAGTATTCGCACTTAAACTTGTAAATTCCGCCAAATAAGCATTCCGTTCCAACACACGGACTAAAAATTTGAAGATGATCCTAAAAATAGAAAACCTACAGCAGTCTCCGATAGTGCATACTTCATAAACCTGCTTGAATGTGACTCTTACCTGCACGTCCTGAAAGATCCTGAAAGCTCAAAGAGTAACACAAAAACTAATCAGGGGATTAAAAAAAGACTTACTAGTCCCAACAGCAAGAATGGCTGCTTGAGGAGGATTGATGATAGCACAAAATTGTTTAATCCCAAAAGGTCCTCCCAAATTGGAGATTGTAAATGTTCCACCCTGCAGAATTGTTGCAGTTAAAAAACATTTAGTAAAAAACGAAGGAAAAATGAAACTAAAAAATAAAAATCATAATCTTCAAATCACAGAAACACGGAATTTCCAACTGTTTATCCTTCCAGAATCAAGGAACCATTGGCATCAAGATAATTTCAGAGATGCATTCGTCTTAAATAATAATGAATCTAATAAACTTTCCTTCGGAATATTTAGTTGCCACAGGTCAACTCTCAAAAGCCCAGGCACCAACATGTAACAATTACAAATTGTCTCCTGAATGATTTAAGGCTGATCCCTAAAGATATGAACATAAAATTGGTGCCCATCAACACTTGAACTAGTTTGAAAATAATTATGAATAGCTGAATACATCAAAACATGATCAATGTAAACTGTTCGAAATCAGTCGTCATTAAATTTAGCATACCTCGTAGTCACTGGGCTTCATTGTATTCGACCTGGCCTTGCCTGCTAATGTCTTCACATCCTCTGTAATTGTGGCCAAACCCTTCTTATCCGCATCCTACAAAAGCCAAAACAACGGTCAGGACACATATGAACAGCTTCATTGATCAAATACAAGATTATACACGTATTGATGTCTCCAAGATGTAACATATCACAAAAATTACCTTAACAACAGGGACCATCAGTCCGTGCTCAGTCTGGACAGCAACACTGATGTTGACATTATGGTACCTGTTCATGAGTTAACGCAAAAAATAATCAGCAAGAGAAATGCAATCAAGGCAAATAATATTTAGCATCTGATTGGTACACTTTCCTTTTAACAGAACTTTATCTGCTCAATTACTAGGACATCAGATACTTCATCGTTCTCATTCTCATGGTCTCCACACACCACTGCAACTTCAAAATTAAAGCTACTTTGCCCACACAAGAACTAAGAGGAGAGCCTGCCTCAAGAATATATCAAGTAAAGCAAATTAACTGATACATCAGCCCACACTTACTGCCTAATGTATTCATCAGTCCAGGTACTATTGACTTCTGGAACCTTCTGCAGTGCCAAGGCTGCAGCCTGTACGTCCACAAAACAGAAATCAGTAAGGGAAACAAATAGAAGCCTTCCAAACTCAAAGACCAAACACACGATGATGGTTAGAAACTGATAGAGGTTAAACAAATTTAACCTTAATGACGAAGTCGTTTAGCGACAATTTCTTGGTTGGAGCATCCTTCTTCTTCGATGCATCCAATGAAGCATTCAAATCACCTCGTAGCCTAGATATCAGAACAGGAAAATATCATAAATGAGCTGCGTAACACCAGTATGATCTCGTCATGTCCTTTATGAAGCTCATATATATTTCACTTCGCACCAATGCTGGCAAGAAAGACTGAAAATTTCGAAAGATGAAAAAGAGCTACGTACTGAAGAAGCTTGTCAACACGTATGTCAAGGCTAAGATAGTAGTGAGGTATGGTTTGCTTTGACTGCAGTAGACGTTTCGCTGTAATCTGTACCACAAAGACAGTATTACCCAACACAAACTGTGAGCATGTATATAATTAAACCCGACACAAAGTTACTTAGATGATTAGAAAGATCTAACAAGGCTCTTCCAACAGCTCAGCTATTCTCCGAATTTGTTACGTGAAAAAAATTGGAGAGTTTACCCTTCTGATCTGAGTATTTGGAATATCAGTGTAGCTCAAATCGTCAATTGGAGCAACTCCTTTCGGTGGGGCTCCACCAGAAACATGTTGGTCTGTTCTAGACACTGACTTTTCTGAAGGAAAAGGTTTTGATGCTGCACAAATTTCACGTATTTACTCAACAACCAACACAAACAAGTGGCAACGACATTAATGATGAAACACGGCAGTAGTAAATTTCAGATAGCTCCAACCAATTGTGTCCCCAGAAGTGGGGAGTATACTATGAACTTGAATGAAATTCAAACCCATATTATTTACTTGACAGAATGCATAACGTCAGAAGAAGTTAACACTAATAAACACATCAAGAGGCAAAAAAGTGACAAAAATAATGCCATGTTTACATCATTACCTAAATACGCCTCAACATCAGCCTTTACGATTCCTCCATCTGGACCTGTCCCCTCGATGCTAGTCAAGGACAACTGCATAAAAATAAAAATAAATCTTCGCTCAAAAAATAAGAAGATAAAGCGATACATAAATTTTAGAAGGAGAGAATTGGGGCTACAATGAAACAATTACTGCTTCATGCACAAAATGGCCAAAAGTAACATGGATTCACAGATACACCACAAACAAGAAACGAGTTCCGGATGATTACTTTCTTCTCCTCCGCAAACTTTCTCGCTGCAGGAGTTGCAAAAATACGATTTCCACCAGATGGAGGACTTGGAGTAGCATGACCAGGCTTCGATGGTGTAGGTTCAGACTTGTCTTGCTTCTTAGAGGGAGGAGGAGGAGGAGATGGAGTTGACTCCTCTTTCTTTGGTGGCGGCGAGGAATCACCACCACCACCTGAAGGCTTGTAGTCACCAATTGATTCCAATTCCTCCTTTGTGTCTACCATCAAACAGATAGCCTGTCGATCACAAAAGATCAACAGCAGCTAATAAGAAGAGGGAGTAGAGAGAGATATCTTCTTAATATTGGTTCAAAGAACGACGAGTGACAAAAAAGAGTGAGAAAATTGTGCTTTAAGGTATTTATCCCTGTACCCAATTTGATCACAAACGTCAAAGTGGAAGGCATTTCCCCACGATATTAAATATACCTGGCCGACTGGGATGTCCTTCGCTCCATCTTTAACTAGAATTTTGCCAAGGAATCCATCTTCCATAGATTCCATCTCTAGTGTTGCCTTATCCTGTTTACAAAGTTATCCCAGTGAATGACACAGTCATCAGCACAGGCGAAGAAAGAAAACAAATGCTGAGGGAAAACTGTCACCGAAATTACACAAAATCTCATGATGAAGCGGGCTTACAGATGTCTCAGTGTCAACTACATACCGTCTCAATTTCACACAGAACATCTCCCGCGACAACTTCATCTCCCTCTTTCTTCCGCCAAACAGCTATGTTACCCTGCAAAGAGTAAAGATGTGCAATTGGCATGACCGTAATTAGTTATTAATGTATACGCAAACTTTACATGGCTACTGCCCTAAAATCGTACCTAACAAAGAAAAATAAAACCTAATCGCTAGAAAAACGAAAATAGGAGTCTAAGATGGGTTCTAAGAAATACCTGGGTCATGGTCGGTGAAAGTGATGGCATCCCAATTTCCATGACAGAGTTAACTGCGTCCAGAAAGTTTAGAATTAAAAGTAAATAATATGAGTATGTTCTGACTCTCAGATCTCAGATCGTCATTCTGAAAAAAGAATCTCCATCTAGAAGTTAAACACTGATGTTTTAGACTAATGGACTTCCTCACGATCTTCTTCACATCACTCGACAAATGGCCAACAAGCTATTGGTGCCCAACGTTCGTGACAACTCTGACTTTATTAGACAGATGAATTCACATACCACTTGAAGCATGTAGAGATGATTTTTGTCCTCTGGAATAGTTCTTGGGCACCGTTGGAGATTTAGACTGGAGAGTGAACCTGGGTCAGTACAAAAAGAAAGGTTTTGAGAATGTTCAGCACGTGTCAGAACTGCAACAAGAATTCACTTGAACCCATAACGACGAAACAAACGATGTGAAAAGGTTCACCTAGATGGGTACGAAACAAAGCAAGGCTCAAATACAACGGAGAACCATTGACACATATGCAGCTGGCCATGACAGTTTATCAACTTCGTCATCACTTGAAATGCAAGCGACGTAGCATCTCATCAACGCCACCATCTTCATTTACATCAAAGTAACGCCGCAAGATATGGCTATAGCGCTAAGCAAGCGACGCATGCAATGTACAACATCACATTGCATCCTGAAAATTAGATCTCACCGTATTCACATAGGAAGCACTTATTTACATCATAAATAAGACTAGGGCGAACAGCAATGACAACGAATACGTCCAAATATTCTCCATAACTTATAAACATGGGATTGAAAACATGGGAGTAGTGTGACGTAAAGGTGTGCATTTGGTGCAGAATTGGAACCTAGCCCATAAGGTACTCAGTTATATCCCAAGTCATTAAAACGAGCTCAACAATAAAACATTAAGAATTGAAGTAGTAGGTGACTGAGAAAGGAAATGGTGGAATTCTAGCCCGATGAATATACCCGTCTAACACTATGCTCTAGCCAAGGATATGCATAAACAGTAACTGTAGACACCAAACAAAACGAATCGAATTATATACCTTGAGGAAAGATCAGCCGCACGTTCGACACGCCCATTGAAGGAAGGCACTGTAGAAAACCTACGTTCCGCAGAGAACTCTCCACTTTGGAAACTGCATTCCAAAAGCTCCCCGGTGGAGCATACAGGTTTAGCCCCGCCCCGCCTCGATGACGAAATACAGCTAGCTCCTCTACGGGCCAAAATTGCAGCCCGACGAGACGCCATAGCTCGAAAACACCTCTCCTTCTCTAATAGCCAACCCTCCTCTTAGCATTCACAATCCAACCCTGTATCCCTAGAACACCAACACAATGTCTAACGTCAGCCACTCGATTCGTCCAAACCCTTCGCCGCCCTCGATACTCCGACACCAAACCGAAACAAATCACGAAAAAACCATTCCACCCTAAAATCCCTGATTCGCAAACAAATCTACTCACACACCACATCTGAAACGCTGTAAAAACAGACCTCCTAGTAGTTTGATAGTTCCCTTTCACAGACGACGACTACCGTCCCCGGTCTAAGCCTTCTTCCTTCTAGTCGAATAGGTCGACCGCCCTCCAGAGTCACTGCCCTCGCATGAAGTCAATACTACGTTATTTACGACGAAATTGGGCTTGATTGGCGCAAGGGCCACGAAGAGTGCATCCCGAAAAGGAGAAGGGACCAAGGGTGCCCAGGATCGCCGTGGCTTCGCGGCTATACTCACTCATCAATGATGCACGCGCACAATGGCCAGAGGCAAAGGGGAGCGCGGGGGTGGGGTCCCGACGCGAAGGGCCAAGTGTGCCCTCCGCGAAGAACGGAACAACGTCCTCTAGGATCTTTTTCCACATTCCGTATGGTTCGCGTTCATCCACGCAACGGTCGCCCTTGTTCGTCGACGACCTCGGACGTTCCGGCGGGATTTCAGAATTCCTCGTTCGTTCGTCCATGACCTGTTCCTCTCATTGACTGGAACCTGGAGCACGGGGATAGGGACCCCTCCCCCGACCACCGAGACGCTACAGCCCGACCCCCTCCTCAAGACGAGATTCCTGATTCAAATTACAATATATATATAGATATATATATACATAGATATATATATATATATATATAGTACACCAGATTTGTCACGTTCTGTGCTTTGTATCGTTCCCTACAGTAATTGTTGTGAGAATTATGTATGCAGTTAAATCTGATTGCTTGTATGTGTGTGTGTGTTCATGTAAAGTTTTAACAGGATCAAAACTTATATATCAAGTCAAATTATTTTCAAAGCAATTAGTTTTTCTGTATAATAATATCTAGATATGATAACCTGTTAATCATACAATTTCATTTGGTTAAGTAATGTTCATTTAAAAACAGAGATTCGCAAGTGTGCTATACAAAATAGAATGATGTTTTTTCTTACAGACAATTGTAAATTCTTATTCTATAAGGATATTTCACAATGGATAAATATGCATTTACAAAATTACAATTAACTGATAAATTGATTATGTAATTGCAAAGATTGATTTGCCATTTGTACCAAGTTTTGATAACCAATTATTGAACAGTCATCTTCAAGCAAATTGTTGCTATGTCCTCAATGAATTTCAACTATTTATGTAGATAAGGTGCAATCTTTTCGGTGGTAACAGAAAAGATGCAATAAAAAAAAAAAAAAAAAAAAAAAATTATTTATGAAACACTAGATTTTTACACCAAATAAATACCAAATGTAGTAGAGAAGGAACATGTTTTCTTTTGAAACGAGCATGATAATATTGTCACAAAAATTGGTTGTGGCATTTTTACTATAAACACTAATAATTCAAAGTTTTTTTTTTTTTTTTTTTTTTTTTTTTTTTTTTCCTACAATAAGAGGCACAAGACATGAAGAACCTTAAAAATTTTCTTTTTTTACATTTATTACTATGTAGCAATTAAGTATTAAAATAGCAATGACTTGTAGGTTAAGAATATGATTTGCAAGGTGAATGCCAAACCACTCCTCAAAATACAATATTCTCAACTTAAAGAATTTGTAATTAATAAGATCTTCTAAGTGTTACATTATGTCATTATAACAAATTTATGTTTGTAGATGCCAATTAAAAAGTTGCCAATTGAAAAGTTGGTAATACCTCCTATATGAACAACATTAATGACTTTTCTTATTGTGGCTAAAAGAAGCTCCACATGACAAAAAGACATGCCAATATCAAAGAACTTTGAATTATTATTATATTTTTCTTAACCAGCAAGTATTGAATAAGTTGGTATGAAGTATCTTGTAAGTCTATAGTATGATAACTTTCTTGTACTTTTTATTTTCTCTACTTTTTTTCTTCCTCCAAAATTAAATGATGTATATATATAATATTTTACCTTTATTGTTGAGGAAATAGTACTACTTGAAAATTTATGGCTAACATAAGTAAAAACATTATCATGTAAAGATATATGTAATATTAAAAAATCGTTTAATTGAAATTTTATTATAAATTTGTGTAATGATGATGTTTTAAAAGTAGAGATTTTATTATTTAAGCACACAATGGAAATATTTGAATGATTTTTCTTTGTTTGTAATGTTTCACTGTCAGGTGTATTTGATATCATTCTTGTATTCTGCTTTCAATCAAATTAGAAAATAAATTAAAATGATATTTAATATTATTAATTTATTTTTCTGATATAAATTTTATTTATTTATTTAATAATAAATACAAAATATCACACTAAATAGATGCATCTACAACTTTAAAAATTAATAATGTAATAACTATCAATTAATAATATATTAGAGAATTTTTGAATTTTTAAATATATTTTTTTACATATAGGTCATCATTTCAAACCATATTACATCTTTTATTAGTAATTTAATGTTAAATAATATTCAACTATATTACACAGTGAAAGAGATAATCTTCTAGGTGGATATCTTTAGTTGGTAAAATTATGCTTTTGAATGTTATAGAAGTTATGTCTGGCATTTTATACCAATCTTTGCAATTTTCAAGGGCATGCAACTTCAAAAAAATGAGCTCCTTGTTAAACAAAATCTTATTTTTTTCATAGGCATTGTTATGTTTTTATACTGTTTTATACTGTAACACATTTTTAAAAGCATAATCTTTTTGTAAATTTTATTTTAGTGAATATTTTTTGTAATTTTACATCCAAAGAGTACACGTGTCATAAAATGCTGAAAGTCCCAAAGTGACACAAAAATTGCTACAAGATTTTATAAATTTTGTAATATATATATATATATATATATATATATATATATATATATATATATATTTTCCAAATCATTATTTATTGCTTCAAAAGAAAATTTAGAAAATAATTTCATTTTGAGAATTATTGTCCTTAATAATTATTTTCAAATCATGAAAAAACTGTTGGGTAGAATGAAACTTTATTTTTATTTTTGTTTTTATTTTTTATTTGTAGAAGCCTTCATCTATGAAATAAATTAATGGTCCTGCACTGCTTTATTTCGTTACCAACTAACTGTTATTGCTTGTAGTTGTTGTATATTCATAGGTATTACTTTCACCAACATACACCATTTTCATTTGTATGAAGGAAATGTTATCATATCATATCACAATAAATTAAAAAAGAAAATAAAAAGGGATGTTACTAACCTGTACCTCATCTACATCTAACAAATTTTTTCTAAGTGCTATTACAATAGACATCTTGTGCACATTTCAAGTCCTTTCAGTGAAAAATGATAGTTTGAACTTATTCTATCACCTGTATGTATACTCCACTTACTTATCAACCAATTTCAACACCAAATTTCTCTTTGTAGTCCAACCGTAAACTAATGGAGCTTGACAAGACTCTCAACCAGTACCAGGATCCATCAGATCCCTGAGATATGACTTGCTCTAGGAGTGCAGAAGCCAGGTCTTCGAGGTCTACTCAAGCCATCTCCAAGAGGTCTTGGTTCAAAGATTTGGTTGATGCACACACCTTGTTACTTTATGTGGAGTTTGACATACAACATGAAAACAAACAAATATTTCAACTGCGTCTACATTGAAGTCAAAGTTTTAGAAAAAAGAGTGTTATTAGAACTTAGACCATTATAAATAGCTACATCATTGCAAAAGACAACAAACACATTTTATAGCCATACCCTATAACAGACACACTTTGTCAAGGAGTTGCGACCAATTTTAGTTGTGACCTTCTTGATAGAATATTTTTTATAAACCATCTTTAATATTTTAATGAGAATTTTACTAAACCTTCCACTAATCTTATTCTTATATGGTATTAGAGCAAAAATGATCTCTATGAACTCCTTAGAGTAAGTTTTAGAAACACAATAAACAAACAAAAAATCAGCTCACAAAAAGAGGGATTATGTTGAAGACATTATAAACAACAAAGACATCAATCATTTAAAAAACTAATTCCAATCTTTTTTTACAAAGAGACAATCATAAAAAAATTATCTTTCTAAATTATAAGCATTCTTTTTAGGATACAAAGATAAGAGAAAATAAAAACCAAAATTAGCTTTAAAGTATTTCATAAGGACCACAATAAAATTTTAACCAACCACTTCATGCCTTCATTGCAAGAAAATGAGGCATTGGAGTTTGGATAGTTTTATAAACAAGTCTAAAGTTGCAACCAATAACAGAACAACTTCCATTAATAACATGAAGTCGAATCTAAATTAAAATTAAAAAATATAGAAAAAATCTCTTTTACATTCCATGCCTAAATATACCTTTCACAATATACTATTTAGAGAAGCTACATCAACCAAGAGCAATAAAAGTTAAACATTGATTCATAAATACAAGAGCCATACACTACTTGACACATAATATATAATAGTTCATTGATATTGATTCATTCTTGCTTTATAAAAGTAAAGTATATCTCAGTGACAATATCATAGATTTTATATTTAGGTGGAAAAAAGTTAAAATTTACAAAGTAAATAGAGATATCAATCATCTCATTGTATCAAAGATAAGAACTTGATAAAGACAAATAAACAAGTGAGACTTCTCTCAAAGAAAGATGACAAAATATAAATAACTCAATATGTATATTAAAAAAGAAATTGGAATGGCTAATGCCAAAAGACAAGAAAACTAGAGACCCTTGAAATTGGTCTAAAAGCAAAAAAAGAGTTGATAAGAGTGAAGAGAGCTTCACTTTTGTCTCTATATATACTATCTAATTGGAAACTATGTGGCAATGTTCTATAGGACCTCCAATATGTGTTGACTTTGTAGGACACATGCCTTCACTTATAAGATAAGTTTTTCTACAAGTGGGCCACATAGTTAGCTTGGTCTTCAAGCTAATAATATGTGTGGGACATGGCCAACTTGTTGACCACGTTTCTAATCCAAAAAATCAAATACAAACACCTATAAAATAAAAGCAGCTTCTAGAAAGCTTCAATAGCAAATATTATTGAATTAACTCACTTTTACTTACTTTTACTTACTTCTACCTATTTATATATGTAATTACTGACTCACATGTATATGTCCATGACATTATCCTCCATTCTAGGGATGAGTTCAATAAGAAGCGGTCATCATATGTTGAGGAAATCTATAATGCAACAAATTATATTCATCACATACTCTGATCTTTGTTCTCTTCAAAGATGATTGATAGGACCAAGTTTTAGGATTTTAATAGGATAAGACATTCCAATTTATTTTGATGCTGCCTTGAATAAAAGACTTCTTCCACT